TCCTCCTAAGTGAAGCGGTATCCAGAAGTTCCTATATGAAACCTAGTATGTGCATGCCCAGTTTGCCTTAAAGGTAAAGGTTCCCTTGCTCGAAAGCCAGTCGAATCCGACTCTAAGGTTGGGGTTTTCATCTCCGTTTCAAAGCCGAAGAGCCAGCGCTGTCCGAAGACGTTTCCGTGGTCATGTGGCTGGCATGACTAAACACCAAGGTGCACGGAACACTGTTACCTTCCCACTGAAATGGTACCTATTTATCTACTTGCAATTTCTTGCTTTCGAACTGCTAGGTTGGCAGGAGCTGGAACTAGAGACAGGAGCTCACCCCGTCTTGCGGCACCCGGGGCTTGAACTGCTGAACTACTGACCTTCCACAGCCTGCAGTTCAGCGTCTTAACCACTTGAGCCACCGCAGCTCCGGTCAGTTTGCCTTAGCAAAGGACAATTTGTTGTCTGGGAATATCTCGAAAGTAGGCAAGGGGGGATCCTCAATATTGCCTGATGAGGGCTGAGCATATTTATTGCACTAAGAGACATCAAATATTGAGGGCAGCTGAATATCTATTCGGAAGGTAGTGGAACAGGGTGACCTGCAGGCAAGATAGGATTTTCTGTGTACTGTGAGGGGATTCCCAGGTAGGCAGAAAAATATTATTTTTAAACTGGGGAAAAACTGAAATGGCCTGATGAGGGGTAAGCATGCTCATTCTTCTAGAAGACATGGAATGTTGAGGGCAGTTAAATATTGAGGGCAATTAAAATTGACACTAAACCGCCTTCAACATTTCTTGTTTTCTGGAGGAGAGAGGAGAGGAAATTGGCTCATTCAAGCCCTTGAATGCCGATTCTATGCTGGAGGGGTAGATTTGGGTGGGGGGGGGTGAGATTCCAGTTTTTTATCTACCCCTGCAAACACATATAGCTGCACACATATAATCACAATATTCCAATGTTATGCTCACCTGAAGCTTCTTAATATAATGTGTTTCTAACTCTGTGCAACATGTTTCAGGGATCTTAATTTAGTTATCTTACAGCCTGCAAAAACAGCTCTGATTTAAAATGAAGCGACGAATCCATAATACTTAGATGCATCCTTGGTGAAAGAGTAAAAATACACCTGCTGCCCCTTGGAGAATGGCCAACAGCTGGCAGTGGGGTGGACAATTTCCCAAGATTCACTTATTTAATCCCTTCCTCCCCTCTTCCCATCCTCACTTTGTTAGAGGGTTGTGTGTCCTTTCCATCCCTTCTGCTTGTTGCACTCAGGGGGGAACAGAATTGACAGACATCCGTTAATACTGTATTGCCACTGGTAGGTCCCTTATGTTAAAAACAACAATGCAGAAGCCAATTGGCAGAGGTGGATATTCTTATTTCCAGCATTTCTTGCCTCCAGAGGTTAATCCTAAAGTACAAACACTTGAGCAAGAAGAGACCAGCAGTCAGATCAAATTCCATGGAGTGAAGAAGTGAAGCTGTCATTTCTTTACTTGCCTTAATAATGAAACCGGCGTCTATTGCCAACAGAAGACAGAATCTTGGACTGGTTCACGCCATACTTCTTTCTGGTGATGTTGCTAAGAAACTGCTTACCTGCCAGAGTGTGCGAGCATTGCATGATTCATTCAGTGACCATGGGAACCGGTTGGTGGCTTCCAAGGAAACCATTTCATAGAGGCGTGGGGGGGGGGATTGCAGTAAAACGGACCCCCTTGTTTGCTAAGCAGCGGCCCACAGCATCTGATTTCTCAGAGCTGATCAAGTAACTCAAAACCTTCTGTGGTTCACAAGGCAGGTGTATTTGGTTTTCATTTCCAGTGTCAATAAGTAAGTCGTCTCTTACCACCATTCTGTAGATTTGTAATTGGTACAAAGAAGGCTGAAATGGGGTTTTGTATCCTCTCAGGGGCTTTCACTTAAAGCTAATTCCATTTTTCTTTTTCTTTTTTTTTTAAAAAAGCTGTTACAAGATGGCTGATCACCCCAAGAGACCTTATTAAAAAAGAGAGAGAGAGACAGAGAAGATTAATAAGGTGCTGACTTGGTCTAAAGCTGCTTATTCTCTTCCTGATTCAGGAAGGAAAAACAAGCGCATTCATTTTGTTTGATGTTTCCTTTCAAACTATACCATGTGGGAGCCATTCATAACTTGAGCATAGTATTGAGTTCCTTTAATGAAAACAAACAAGCTCTGCTGCGTCCAGTGTTCCTTTGTGCTCAACACTTTTCAGTGTGCCAATGAATGTCTGAAAGACTGTACAGTACCAGCCACAGCTTTGCTGGACAGCATACCATAAAACCACACAGTCAATCGTGTGGTATTCTGATATTCCAAAGAAGTGTCAAGAGACACAGTGAATAGCTTGCTACTTTTTCTTCTGCGTCTCAGTCGGAGGGAAATGTGTGCTCTCCAGGGCAGAACTAGAAATCTCTAGAGAGGAATGGCTGCTCCTGATAACAGTTGTTCAGTCTGTATCTTTCTTCCCCCCCATCCAGCAATATGTCATAAAATGAACTATGTGAGATGGCACGGCTCTCCAAGTTCCACCCCTCAAGCGACAACTGATGGAGTGGAGAAGGGGCAAAGATTCTTTGAGCCACAGGGGTATCACATCACAACTTCTGTTGTACTGGACATTACCAAGTACAAGAGGAGAGGGGGAGACAGAGCTAGAGGCACACAGATTTTTACCTTGGCTTAGTATCCAGCCATTACTGATGGTTACCAGTGATCCCTTCCCTTCACCTGACCCCTCTGATCCACTGGCACATGCAGGCTGTTTGGAGGAGGGGCTTGTAACACTTTACGATGGCCCCTGTCCTCTTCCCTCCCTCAGAGGCGCGATTTTCCCTCCGTGTTTTTTCCCCCTTTTGTGACTGAGCTGCCCTAGTAATATGTTACCTTCTTTGCTGAAGAACTCTGGCTGTCCCACCTGGTCACATTATGATATTTTGCTTGTTGGCTCAGCCCAGGAGCCTGAGGGAAGGGTCAGGATAGCCCTTTAATTTAAACCACTTAAATGGCACTCGAGGCATTTTGAACTTCAAAAATAACAAAATATTTTATTTAAGATAGAAGGGAAAGGTCAGGTGAAATCAGAGTTTGAAATTTCTGAGGGAACTCAATATAGATAACCCTGAGTTAAAACCAGTACATGCGCAGACTTTAGTTCTTATGTTTCAGGCTAATGAAAGTTTCTTAAGCTATTCAGAGTTACTTAAAATCTTTATGTTGAGAGGCTTTTGTCCCAGTGTTTTCCCCAAACACTTCAGTACACTTTCTTTGACTCTTGGTTTCCAGAAGGCTGGTATACTCTTTCCTGATATACCCTTCTCTTGAAACAGTCCAGTACTTGTATTGAGTTTTTAACTGACTTGTAAGAGTTTCTAACCACACCTGGCCTTCTCTGCCCTTTTCAGTTCTATCACCCTGTTTAGATAGGGTAGGGAAATTCCGTCTCTCTCTAGAAGACCTATCCCCTTTCCTTGGCCCAAATGGGAGTTGTTGCCTAACTACCCACTCGTCCTTGCCAACTTTCCCCAGTTCTCCTGTTTGTGTTAAACTGCTCTCAGTCAGGGCTGAATTCCAAATGAATTCTCCTCCTTGGCATTCAGCTCTCAAGTCTCTCTCTACTCAGCTGATGTTAACAAATCACATTGCTTGGAGCAGCCTGTCACTCAAAGCTCTCTGTCTCTGTGAAGAATTAACCCTTCACAGTCCTTTAGTTGTTTGTACAGCACTCCTAGGCATTTTAAAAGTGCAGTCCATCACACACTTGCACAGTGACCTTCTGTCGGGCAGGATCTGCTGTGTGTCTGTTATTTGTTTGTGCCTTTGATTACCCTCACCTGGATAACCCTTGCTAGCCTGATCTCGTCAGATCTTGGAAGCTAAGTAGGGTTGGCCCTGGCTAGCATTTGGACGGGAGACCACCAAGGAATGCCTGAGTCACTACACAGAGGCAGGCAATGGCAAACGACCTTTGACTGTTTCTTGCCTTGAAAGTGCTACAGGGTTACCATGTCAGCTGCGGTTTGACAGCACTTTCCGCTTTCCACCTGTGCATGTTTCATTTGTACCCCACCGGGAAGTTGCAGAAGGCAGAAGCAGGGATGGTGACTTGGGCTGTGTGCCAAGTCAGACAAGAGATCTCCCCTCTCTCCAAGTCTTCTAGCAAAAGCTGGGAAAAGAGAGAGGAGGGTTTTTTTCCCCCATTGCTTTTCACTACATTTCAGGGAAAGAAGCTCTCATTGGTTCTCCCCTTCCCATTTTATCCTCGCAACCACCCTTGCTGAGGTGGGTTGGAGTGAGAGTGAGCGGCTGAACCCAGGTCATCTGGTGACATCCTGGGCCTCCCCACTCCTAGTTCAGTGCTGTAACCACTACACCAAATTGGTTCTCAAAGTGGAATTATAGCGGAAATGATGGTAAATGATGTCAAAGCCAGTTTGGTGTAGTGGTTAAGTGTGCAGACTCTAATCTGGGAGAACCGGGTTTGATTCCCCACTCCTCCACTTGCACCTGCTGATGTGACATTGGGTCAGTCACAAGCTCTGTCAGAGCTGTCCTTGAAAAAGAGCAGTTTATGTCAAGAGTTCTCTCAGCCCCACCCACCTCACAGGGTGTCTGTTGTGGGGAGGGGAAGGGAAAGGAGTTTGTAAGCCGCTCTGAGACTCCAAGTGAAGGGCGGGGTATAAATCCAATCTCTTCTTCTTCTTCTTCTTCAAAGGAAAATGATGGATGGTAACAAAATAAATGGTAGGATTGGTTTGGGGAATGAGAAATAGTTTGGCATAGTGTTGGGAAGATCTGTTGGGACCTGAGCAGAAGCCCGGTTTTGAATAACTTGCTTGTGAAATTAGCCCATTCAGTCTAGCTGGTGTCCACGTATACAATCTTTTCTGGTACAGTGGGCACCAGTTATTGATTTTACGGTATTAAAAGGACATTCAGTAATTACAAAAGGCTAATTGTTTTTTTTTCCCTTTTTCTTTTCCAGATTCCTAAAACATGTGAAAACTTCATTAAACTATGCAAGAAGAATTACTACGACAGGACCATTTTTCACAGATCAATTCGTAATTTTGTGGTGAGTACACAAAATAAACATGAAGGTCTGATTCTCCCCCCCTCCCCCCCACCCACGACTATAGCAAAGATCTTAATTAAGATTTTTGTATTTAATCCCCTCTAGACCAGAATTTGCAGTAGACATAAACTAACCCTGACATGAACGGGAAATATTTCTTGAGAACAAAATCGCCCTTCCAGAGTAAGAGCAATATTGGATTGCCTAGCAACCCACATTGAATAAAGTCAGCCTGTCATCCACCATTTCCAAGCGCTCTGAAATCAAGAGTTTTGTCTGTCTTCAGTTTCTGCAACCTTTGGTTCATAGCGTTTGTGGGCTGATTGATTTTTGTATTTTTGCCCCACTTTTCAATTAAAAATAATTGGCTCCCAAGGGGGGTTTACAGCAATTGGAAGCTAACACCACATATAAATTAGAATATGATTTGAGGGAGCTCTTGGCCCAGGCATGTTGGAAGAATGCCTGAGCTTTGCATCTTCTCTCTGTAAACTCAGTGATGGACAGGGACAGACTGGCCGTTCAGGCCACTGGGAAAGGTCCTGATGGCCCGATGGCCTGGGGGTACACCCCCTGATGGGGCCACACCAGCCCTCGAGGAGCAGCACCTACCTATGCAAAGCAGGTGTAAGCCGCCTCCACCACAAGCTGACGGCCTTCACCCTGCGTGGGGCAGGTTGGGTGCGTTAGTGTGAGCTAGCTCAGTTTTTTAGCCTCTAGCTCACACATCCTAGCTCAGGAAGGATGGCTCCAGGGTAAACTAATTTATGCAGTAGCCAAATCACTCACTCACAACTTTAATGCCAGTAGCTCACAAAGTAGAATTTTTGCTCACAAGACTCCACAGCTTAGAGGGAACATTGGTTGGGACCTCTGCTTTCTCCCTTCCCCGCTCCATCGGGGTCCTTTTCCATCATCCGTTTTGCTGCCCAGTCCACCCCTGCCGATGGCAGTTGGTGAAAAGGAGCTGTCCGCTGGAGCTGGATCCACGCATGGCAGAAGGGCGCTCCTGTGGGCTTCCAACTCTCCCGTTTTTGCCACGGGGATCACTGCCCAAGCCCACCACCTGCCTTACCCTGCAAACATGCATTGCCAAAGGCATTTCTCTGCCATCTGTCATTGACTCTGAGACATACCGCACTAGCTTCCAAAATAGGTGTTTTAATCGACTGGCCATTAAGTTTCCATTTTGGAGAATCTTAAGAATACTTCATAGGCTTTGTGATCTTGCTGTGGGTCGAGCTGTATTTATTATGGAGTAGGTACAATGCAGACTGGTTTGGATGTTGTTTACACTGCATCCGAATGTCACAAATAAAACCTCTGTTTGTGGGTGATGGTCATGAGCACGACGACGGTGGTCATGAGCATTCACTCCCTCCCCCCTTGTCTCTGTCTGTCTGTCTCAGCCTAGCCTACCTCACAGGGTTATTGCAATGATAAATTAGGGAGGGGGGAGATCCGTGGATGTGACCTTGAGCTCTGTGGAGGAAGGGCAAGATAAAAGTGTAACAGACAAACTGGATCAGAAATGGGAGCTGACAAAGAGATTATAATAAAGGACAAAATTACTTAAGCAAAACACAAATTGAACAACCCAGTTAAGGAAAGAAGAGAGCTGTTTGAAGCTAAGTGATTGGCAGATTAAAAAAAGATTTGTAACTATCAAGATGCAGTGAACAGAGAGGCAATACCTTTGCAATATGGATGACAGGAAGGAGAAAGGAACAAAGTTCAACAATATTTTGAAAGTTGGAAGTGATAAGTTTTTGGCCAAAAAGAGAGAAGAGTCAAAGGACAGCTCCAGGTATCCATACTTGGACCAAAGAACAAAACTAAACTAAAGTAAGGGGTGGGGGAGGAACAAAAGGAAGGGTGAAGAAAAAAGGCAAGCCCAGGTGCTGAGTTCTCGGTAAATTTAAGGTAATGAGGACTGGACAGCAGCAAAAATAATGAGATCAGGAAAGGAAATTGGAGCCAAGGTGGTAATGAATGTTAAGGAAGTAAATGGTACAAAGAAGGGAGGTAGAGAGAGGAGAGAGAAACGGACCCTTGAAGTACTCCAGGTGAAAAGGGGGAAAGAGGCAGGCAAGTCAGCATCAAATAGGCACAGAAAAGGAATACTCCAGATGGTGAAAATGAAACCAGGAACCTGCATGACCACCCACTGAACATAACAAAGAGAGAACAGAAGGAGCACCACTATCAAAAGAAGACATGTCAAAAGATTAAGGATGGTACAAGTAAAAGTAGTTTCTTTGTAACAGCAAGAATGAAGACTCTCTTTCTGTCTCTCTTTCATTTTTGTCCTACCTCTTCTCCATTTTAACTGTCGGTTAAAATATTTGTACACTGACTTTCTCTGTTGACTGTCGGCATCAAAACAACAAAATCGTATACAATCAGGTAGGCATACAAACGTCACTGTCAATTTACACAGAAGACTGTAATAACACATCACCAGGAAGCTTAGACGCCATGCCTACTTAAAATGGAGTCCAGCCTGCTTTCCAGTTAGAAAAGGCTTGCAAAAGATCTCTGTGCATCCACTTTTTCCAGAAGCTCAAGAGGGAGGACCCCCTCCTCACTGGCTCAGGCAAGCTGTTCGATAATGTCCAACTCAGGCCAGTCACCATAAAAGGCCATGCAGAGGCACACAAGTTCCAGTGAAGCTGAGCAAATCATGGGAGGGAATGCAAAGAAGGCAGCAGTGAGATGAACACCAGAGGAATATCTGGATGGAGGTGCAGTCCATCAGATGTTTTATCTTCATAACATCCCTGTTAGGCAGACAAAAGGGTTCGTGGCCCAAGGTCCCATGGTTCGTGGCCCAAGCTTTTGTAGTAGAGATTTGAACTTGGGTTACCCCAGTTTTGATCCAAATGGTGTCTCTGGTTTTCTTGATTACATTTGAATTTTACATACTTCTACCTGACTCTGTTAAGGAAGGCCAAGCGCCAAAGAATAGATGCTTTTGAATGATGGTGCTGGAGAAGACTCTTGAGAGTCCCTTAGACTGCAAGGAGATCAAATCAGTCAATCCTAAAATAAATCAACCCTGACTGTTCCCTGGAAGGCCAGATATTGAAACTGAAGCTCAAATACTTTGGCCCCCAAATGAGAAGGAAAGATTGAAGGTCAAAGAAGGAGGGGATGGCAAAGGAGGAGATGGTTAGACAGTGTTATCAGTGCAACGAACATGAAATTAAGCAAACTCCAGAGGGCGGTGGAAGATAGGAGGGCCTGGAGTGATGAGGTCCATGGGGTCGCGAAGAGTCGGACTCGACTGTGCAACTGAACAACAACAACAACCTGACTCCAGCATTCCATGGTCCTTTTATCCAGCAGTTTTCAGTTTTTCTCCATAGCTACCTATATTCTGCCTAGTGAAAGGAGGCATCCGATAAAGTCCACAGAACCCTATGCTTTGATTAAAAAATTGTTAATCTTCAGTGGACTACAAAAATCCTATTGATCTTTACACCGCTACTGCCTGTCGGGTGGCAAGGGGGGGGCAGGCAGACTAAAAGGATTACAGAAATAGGGTTGCTCAAAAATCTCCTGGAATGACGACTGATTCCCAGGCGACAGAGATCAGTTCCCCGGGATAAAAAGTCTGCTTTGGAGGACGAATGCCCAACTGAGTTCCCTCCCTTCCCCAGACCCCGCCCTCCCCAGGCTCCACCCCCAGATCGCCAGGAATTTCCCCCCAACCCAGAGTTGGCAGCCCTGTTAGCAGAGTGGCAGAATACAGTCACCAAATAAGGAATTAGAAGATTTTTGAAGTAAAGCTATCAAAGGGGAGCAGGTCATGTATTAGCCAAGGGAAGAGGGCCAAGAGAAGCTTTCTTTAGCACAGCAGGAAATGACAGCAGGCCTGTCGAAGAAAAGGGTAAAGGCTGGAACAGAGCCTCCCCCAGGAACTGGATTTCAGGGGGCATTTCAGGCTGCCACGGGAGGGCAGAGGTGGGGAAATTTCACTCTACAGCGGAAGTCCTTGCACCCATGGAAAGTATGTTAGCCTGGATCCAATCCTATCAATAAATGAAAGGGAGGAGATCAGAGAGGAAGACCTCCAGGGCTTTTCCACACCGAGTTTTTCTTGTAGCTTGGCTTCTGAACTGCATTGGTTTTTCCCATCCCAAACACAGAATTGTTTGCCTGCGGTTGCTGTCCCGTGTCATGAAAAACTCAGAGGGAAAAGGGGGGGGGGGAGAAACAGGAGTGGAAACCGATACTGTATGTCAGGGACGGTGAAAACCAAAGTAGTTAAGACACCAGGGCTGTAGCAAAAGCTCAATGGAGAAAAGCCCCAAGTGTCATGCAATGGCTAAAAGACAGAGAGAGTTACAAATCAGAAAGTTCCTGGTTTGAATCTTGCCTGCGTCTTTAGCTCACTAGTTGGCCATAGGCAAGCCATCCTCCCTCTCCCCTTCTCAGACATCCATCTGCAATGTGTGCCTAAGAATACCGATCCATCTTACAGGGCTGTAAGGATTGACAAGAAGAGAATGTAAATGTTAAGCCCAACAACGTCACCAACCCCTCTACTGTTTAATTGATTGCAGAGTATGGTTATTTAAAGAAGGGCTATCCCAGACTGTCTTCAGATCTTTACAAAAAAAAGAAGGAAAGGGAAATGAGGGAAAAACAAATTGTAGAAATTTTATCCATAGAGCAGGAGTCTGATGGGAGAGAGGAGAGCAAGGCAACCGTGATGGATGGAAAAACGAATTAAAAGTAAGGAAAAGACAACTGGAGGAAGAATGAGAATCGATAAGCTTGGAGCAGGAGAGAGCAGGAATCAATAGGCTGTTGAGCAGAGGATATAGCAAGAGAGAGTGCAAAACGTCAATTGGACCTTGAGTACAGTTTTGACACCGTTTTCAGCATGAGTCTGAATCCAGCGTGCTCACCTGCCCCATTGATTTTCATTACCGTTTATCCCCACGTAAAGGGGTGTCAAATTATTCCTTAAATGCATTACAGTCTTATCTGCTGATATACAGTTATTGACCAAGTGCAGCAGTTAAGTGCGGCTTTGGATGTGCTTTTTGGGTTTTCTTTTCAGCCTGCATAGGAGTCCACATTGTGCTTGCAGATAGGGGTGTGCGCTCGGTATGAACTGAACTGAAAAAAATACCCGATAAATACCTTATAGGTATTTATCAGGTATTTTCTCAGTCAATCACCGAGTGGGCTGGTAATTCAGCTATCCAAAAATGGCCACCCCGAAGAATCCCAAATGGCGTGGCGCAACTTGCAAAAGGCTTAAGTATCTTTTGCAAGCCGTGCCGCGAGTGAACTCCAACGCGAGTTCTGGGGGAACTCGCCATTGCTGCTTCAGCGATCACTCGCAGTGCAGCTGTGTGGTCATAGTTTTCTTATCATGAGCCCACTAGTAGACAGTGCCGCCAACATCCTGGTGGAATCTGAATTGCTCCTGGAATTACAACTAATCTTAAGATTACAAAGATCTGCTTCCCTGGAAGAAATGGTAGCTTCGGAAGGCATCACATCCAGACTGAGCTCCCTTCATCTAACCTAAGGGTTCAATAAACTATGATTCCCATCATGCATTACTTTAAAGGTAAAGGACTTGTTTTCCTGCACTAATACAAACTGCTTGCTATGCTTACTGTATACGCTGCTAGGGCAGCACACACCCCTCCCTAGACACTGTCCTCAAATTGCCAGGAATTTCCCAAGCTGACACAGGCAGCCCTACTAGTAGGTACCAATATTCTGAAAAACCCTTTTCGTATTCTTATACCCCACTACAGCCTAAGTGCACCTTATATTTTGCTTCCACAGATCCAAGGAGGGGATCCTACTGGAACAGGAAATGGTGAGCAAATGAGTATTCTTAGTGATCTGTGTTTTGATGTGGCCGCTAAACAGATTTCAAATTGCGTTGTATAGATCTATGGTGCGGCCTCATTTGGAATACTGTGTACAGTTCTGGTCCACCATATCTCAAAATGGACATTGCAGAGCTGGAAACAGTACAAAGGAGGGCAACCAAGATGATTAGGGGGTTGGAGCACCTTCCCTGTGAGGAAAGGTTGAAGAGTCTGGGGATTTCCAGTTTAGAAAAGAAACGATTAATGGGGGGACATGAGAGAGGTTTGTAAAATTATGCACGGGGTGGAGAGACTTGACAAAGATAAATTTTTCTCTCTCCTAAAATACTAGAAGTGAAGGGCATCCAATGAAACTGATTGGCAGTAGGTTCAGGATGGACAAAAGGAAATACTACTTTACACAGAGAGATTAAAATGTGGAATTTGCTGCCAGAGAATGTAGTGATGGCCACAGGAATAAACAGCTTTAAAAGGGGATTAGATAGAGTAATGGAGGATAAATCGGTGGCTACTAGCCATGGTGACTGAGGGGAACCTCCACATTCAGAGGTACTAAGCCTTTAAATCCCAGAGCCAGCAGGCAGCATCAGGGGAAGGCCTCAGCCTCTGTGCCCTATTGTTGGACCTCCAGAGGAACTGGTTGGGCAGTTGTGTGTGACGGAATGCTGGACTTGATGGACTATTGGTCTGATCCAGCAGGGCTCTCCTTATTTTCTTATATTACTTTGTTAACCCTGTTTTTCCAATAGGCCATAGGCTTATTCTTTGAGTTTAAATGTCAATAATCAGGTGTGAACTACTTGGCATCACCCTTGGGGCCTCTCTCCTGCTCACTTTAATAATAAAGATGACCCACTTAGGTGCCCTGACCCAAACAATTCTGAGCTGTTTATGCTGCAGTCCTAAACAGAGTCGCACCCTTCTAAATCCATTTAAGTCCATGGGTTTCAGAAAAGTGTAATTCTGCTTAGAATAAATTTAGAGTCCAATGGCACCTTTAAGACCAACAAAGGTTTGTTCAATAAACCTTGAACAAACCTTCGTTGGTCTTAAAGGTGCCATTGGACTCTAAATTTGTTCTGCTGCTTCAGACCAACACGGCTGACCAACTGGATCTATCTGCTTGGGATGACCCTGTTAGAGTTACTTCATGGAAACAAATGTCTTTGTCTGCAGTCCACTGCATATCATTTTCACTGCGTGACTCCAGGTTCTGGAACTTTCTCTGTATGGAAGAGGAAGAAACAGTTGATTTGACCTTCATTCTCTACACTCACATCCACTGCATCTTATTCTAGTGTGGTCTTGTTCTTAATATCTGTCGATGAAGGGTACCCCATCTCAAAATACAGCAGGACTTGGTACCATTGATGGAAATGGTTTTGATACCTCCAACTCATTAAACTTTTGTTGCCCTCTCTGATAATGTAGGCTACCCTTTTTGACTCACCTTTTGCACTGTTACTACAACTGAACGTTTGCCAGTAAGGGACTGTGGCTCAGTGGTTAGAGCATCTCTTTTTCCCCCGCGGGAAGGCCCCTGGTTCAATCCCCAGCTGCTCCCAATTAAATCTCTGAGGTCTCCAGACTCAGGAGAGTCACTATCAGTCAGAGTAGACAATACAAGAATTAATGGTCTGGCTTGCTATGAACTCAAACACCTTTCTGTGGCTGCTGTTTTTGTGCTTGGGGAGGTTTCACTGTCACTTCCAAAACTTCTCCTAGACAAGCATGTTTTGAGAAATATAATCTTTAAAAAAAAAAAAGCCATGGCCTTAAGAAAGATCCTCATTAAATTCAGAATGAAAGAGATGTTGTGGAGTTGCTCCTGGCCAAACATTGCCAACACCATCCAAATGCAGTCTTTTTATTAAATCCCCAAGTCCCCCCTGAAAGTGCAGAATCAAAGTTGTTGTGTTTGGCTTTCAGTCCTCCTTCCTTCCTTGCCTTTTGTGTGTGGCAGTCTTGACAGGTGGTCCAGAAAGGTAGATGGACAGTTCAGACAGCTGGCCCCACCAAATTAAGCAAAAACTCCTATGGGTATTTCTTGCTCTCTCTTTGGAACCCAACTGTGATCCTTCAGCGTCTTGCCATAAATGAGCTCTGTAGACATCTGTGCTGGAGACAGAAAGAGAGAAAGATGAGGAGCTTGAAATATCTGCCTGCCATTAAACCAATGAGATGTTTGGCGTGCTTTCAAGCCTTGTTCAGTTCTTTTGTGGGTGACAGCAAGCATAGAGAGTCAAGCTAGAAGGCTGCAGTTAAAGTTTCATCTGGTTAGTTCAAACCAGCAGATGAAACTCACATTTTTCTCTCCCCAGTCATGTGCTCTCTTTTTTATTATTATTATTCTTAAAAGTTCTTAATAGTGTATATGCTCTAGCTGGGAAAGATTGTTTTCTGTCTGGAATCTGCAAAAGCTGCTGCTAGTCAAGACTGAACTTGATGGACCAGTGGTACTCCCAAGCCAGAAATGGAAATCCACTTTGAATTATAATTTCTACTCTTGGTTTGAAAGCCAGCTATGGTTTGCAATAACCATCATTTGCTCTGTTCATACATTGTGGCAAACTGGGGTTACCTCATGCCAGAAGATAAAGGAGAGAATTGGAGCCATGAGGATAGTAAGGAACATGTGAGCCTGAGGCGCAGCACTGGTAACCAAACCATGCTGAGTCCATGACGTCTCCTCCAGGGAGATTTCAGTTTTCACAATACATTTGTTCGTTTGTAAGATTTATGCCTCCTCAGGAATCCACCTCAAGAATTCCACTATGATTTAGTCTGATCTTTCTGGCCCGTGACAATTGGAACATTTGCATTATGCTCACATGGCCATAGAGTTCTGATTCCAAACTGTCCGAAAGATTGAAGACTGTTTAGCCATAAGTATGTCTGTGGTTTTTGGACCTCATTTGGAATACTGTGTGCAGTTCTGGTCACCACACCTTAAAAAAAATATTATAGCTTTGGAAAAAGTGCAGAAAAGGGCAACTCGAATGATAAAAGGGTTGGAACACTTTCCCTATGAGGAAAGGTTAAGGCGCTTAGGGCTCTTTAGCTTGGAGAAACAACGACTGAGGGGTGACATGATTGAGGTTTATAAGATTATGCATGGGAAAGAGCAGGTAGAGAAAGAGGTACTTTTCTCCCTTTCTCACAATACAAGAACTCGTGGGCACTCCATGAAATTGCTGAGCGGTCGGGTTAGAACGGATAAAAGGAAGTACTTCTTCACCCAAAGAGTGATCAACACTTGGAATTCACTGCCACAGGAAGTGGTGGCGGCTACAAGCATGGACGGCTTCAAAAGGGAATTAGATAAGCATATGGAGCAGAGATCCATCAGTGGCTATTAGCCACAAGGTATAGATAGGGACTCTGGGGCAAGTGATGCTCTGTCATCTTGGTGCTTGGGGGGGTCAACCGTGGGAGGGCTTCTAATGTCCTGGCCCCACTGGTGGACCTCCTGATGGCACTGGTATTTCTGGCCACTGTGAGACACAGAGTGTTGGACTGGATGGGCCTTTGGCCTGATCCAACATTGGCATCTCTTATGTTCTAAGTTCTTATGGTTCTCCTTTCAAAATATTAGCTTCTACAACTTCCTTTAGGAAGCTTGCATTGACTTAGGAGATATGGAGCCTTCACAGCTCCGGGAAAGAGGAAAAACATCACAACAGGATTAATACATATATATATTTTATACTGCACATTGGAAGTAACATTTGAAACAGTTAACATTTATGGAAGGTACTTTTGCCAGACATCACATCACCATCTGGAACGTGACAAGATTTATCTTCTTGACCAGCCCTTAGAAGAACTATTTTCCCAGCCCAAATAATGTTGGATGATGGGTTGAGGAGTCTGCCAGCAAGGAGGTTTTTACTGGACCCGATTCAATGGTTTTCCTGTATCCTCGGTTTGACTTTTATTCCTGTAATATATGCACATTGGCATGAAACACAAATGGAAAAAGTGAAATCCAGATAAAGGCAGAGCGGGGCCATTGGGGTATGGGAGGAGGGTTTCCTTCACTAGGCCAGCCTCTTGTATGGAGGGCCACTCGAGTGTTTCCGTCTTGTTTCCTTCCTTCACTTTAATTGGGTCTGAGTGTGCTGCCAGCTGGGTGGCCCTCTGAGATTTTCACAGCGCTTGTAGCAACCCTTGTAGAGCTGTCACTTCACACTCAAGTGATTCTGACGCAGCCAGTAGCTCTTCTGAAAGCTGCCCTAATTCAGAGTGAACCCAGACGTTTTTTGTGCATCTTTCACAGTTGCGCAGCTAACACTGAAGTCAAGTAAGCAGACTGATGAACAGGGGAAGAGGCAAGATGGAAGAAGAGGAGCTGCAGGGCCCTTCATAAGTTCATAAGCAGGGATCCTTTAAGGGCTGGAAATAAGGAATGGAAATTAGTTACCAGGAGATGATGGCAGAATGCTCTTCTGGATAAAAAAAAATCTCCCTGCACACAGAGAGCTGGGGTACCAGGGAAAAGGTTCTAGGTCATCTTCTTCCTTGACACTCTACTCTTCTATGTGCAGGGAAACTGTTTTTGTGGAGGAGCATTCGATCATGCAAGCCCCCCCCCCTGCAGTCTGATGTGGTACAGTCTTGACACTGGTATAGCACTTCAGTGAGAACTCGGCCCCTGCACTTAGTGCCGTGATCTACCTTGATTGGCCTCTAAGTTGATAAAATCCATTCTGTGATCCACATCCGTACTGAGTAGCACTTCTTGTTTGTGATTGTTTATGGGTCTGAGGGATTTTTATAGCTAGATATGTAACCAAATACGGTCTCACTTGCACATGTCCTCGCATGTCCAGGTACACTTGTTACAGTGCACTTCTATGCAGCGTTATTCCAATCTAAGCCCATTGCTTCCCATCGGCTTAGACTGGAGTAATACTATATACTTAATTGCCTGGAATGCTCTGGAGTCCCTGGCTTAAAAGGCAAGAAGAAAAATATATTTGCA